AGCAGGGACATCCGCCTTGCACTGCAAGGGGAAGACCGTGGTGTAACGCGTGTAGTCGTCGACTACCGGCAGGAAGTACTGCTCGTGGCCCTGTCCACGGACGCGGGCTGGGCCCCACACGTCCAGGTGGAGAGTCTGCAGGGGAGCCTCTATGGGAGGGAACGAGGAGGTTTGAGGAGTGGCACGCTGTCGCCCCTCGACGCAAGGAATGCAGGGCGGCGCAGGCGAGGGAGGGAGGGAGGGCAGAGACCTGGGAAAACTAGAGACCAGTAGGCGAGAGTGCATGCCACGAAGGCGAGGCAAGGAGGGGCGACCAAGGCGGTGGTGCCAAAGGAGAGTATGGTGCGTCAGGCGGCGACACTCATACTAGGTAGCTACCTGAGCGGACGCGTACAACTAAGGAGACAAAAGGGTGTAGCACGACGCAGTGGTGAGGGTGTACAGACTGGACCCAAGCGCACGTGTGAATGTGGCCAGGTGGCAGCCAGTCCGAGAGCACGTGCAGATCGCCACACGCTGTCCTCCACGAGTAAAGGTGTCAACCCAATGATCCTAAAGGACGGCGTTGCTCACCAGGTTCGTAGAGAACGAGGGGAGGTGGAGACCAGACAGCTCAACACACGGGACCGCCGGACACGGAAGCACAGAAGTGGACCGTGCTAGCACTGGGCCCCCAGAGGGGTCAGCTAGTGAGACAGGGACAGGTGCAAGGAGGGGAGTGACTGTGGTACTGTCGCGAAAGAAAAAGCGGGAAGCACCAGAGTCAAGTGTAAAGGTGTGCAAGGCCTGAGCGGACGCAGTACCAGGGAGAACAGACTCACTAGCACCTAGGGTTGCAGGCTCTATAACGGGGTCAGGCGGCAAACACAAGTAGCAGTCACCCTCAGCACTAACAGTCAATGCATACATGGCAGCAAGAATTGCATCATAGTCAAGATCAAAGATAGGAACATCACGCCTAAGTAGGTCTGCCCAAGGGGGAAACTTAGTAGCCTCAGGAAACTTGGCGCGCCAAGCGTCGCTGAGCCGAGAGAAGCAGTAGTACTCCGTATGAAAGCCGTTGCATAGGCGACCAGCGCGGGGACCTGTGCGAATGATATAGGTGCAGCGAACAGGACCCCCAGACGCCCCATGCTGAGTGTACCAGCCATGAAGTTGCTGAGACGTGGGGGTCTGACGCTGACGCTGCTGCTGCTGCTGCTGTCCCTGGCCACCACTGGAGCTCCCCTTCTGGCCGACTCCACTCCAGCCCCCACTACCGCTGCCACCACTGCTCCCTCCTCCCCCACTCGCGCTGCTGCCACCTCCACTGGCCCCGGTACCCCCGCCGCCCCCACCACCACCTCCACCCCCACGACCACCCCCACCACCTCCACCACCCCCGCCGCCTCCACCATCGCCCCCTCCACCGCCACCTCCACCTCCCCTGCCACCCCTGTTGCCCGTGGCGCTGCGGCGCTTCCCACTAGGAGCGGAAGCAACCCCGACCTCCTCAGCACCAAGATAGTCGAGAGCAGCAGCAGCAGCAGAGGCGTAGGAGGGGGCAAGAGGGGAGGGGGAGCACCCCTCAAAGAGGGGAGTGCGAGGAGTGCCACGAGCAGCACCTACAGCGAGAATGTTCTTTTCGACTGCTAGGAGGTGCGTCTCGAAGTCGGCGACAGTGAGAGTGGCCGGGTCTAGGGCGAGAAAGTGGTCCCTGACTGAGCTAAGAGTGTCAGGGAGGCGGGTGATGAGGAAGTAGAGAGTAAAGTACATCGGGAGGTGATTCTTGGCGAGGAACTCGTCTGAAAGGGCGGCACGAAAGCGAGCGTCACTAGCGCGGAGGTGAGAGATGAGGTCCTCAGCGGTGGTAAACGAGGACAGGTCGGGGAACAGGTAGGGTAGCATAAGACGACCTAGGGTTGCAGTGGTTGGGGAAGAGTAGCGGGCAACTACAGCTTCATACAGTGCCTTCGCAGTCTTGTGCTGACTAAAGTGCGCGCGCTCAGTGATCAGCAGATGGTTGCGAATAGCGAGGCGCACAGCAGCATCACGAGTCTGCCACTGTAAGTGGTCAAGAGCGGCAGCAGTGTCAGCAGGAGCAACGGAAGTGCCAGACGCGTGATCGAACAGTGATACTCCGTCTTTGGCATCAGTCATAAGAAACAGTTGCAGGTCGTCGAGCCAAGTGGCAAACTCTATCGGCCGACCGTCAGGATCGAAAGCAAGGACATTGAGAGTCGCCATGAGTGCAGCGCAGGTGAGAGTAGCGCGTAGGCGGCAAAGGAGAGCACAGACAGGAGAAGCTGCACACAGGGCTGCAGTGGCGGCGCACGAGCTGATGGGGCGGCACGCACGTGGCTAGGGCGGTGCGCAGGGCAGCGGCGAGGCGCCCGCAGGCTGCTGAAGCAGCGTGCGGGTGGGTAAGGCAGCACGCGAGGCAGAAGCGGGCCGCGCAAGGGCGGCGGACGCGGCGCGCGGGGCAGCAGCGGGCTGCGCGGGCGACAGACGCGGCGAGCGGGGCAGCAGCGGGCTGCGCGGGCGGCGGACGCGGCGCATGGGGCAGCAGCGGGCTGCGCGGGCGGCGAACGCGGCGCGCGGGGCAGTAGCGGTTTGCGCGGGTGGCGGACGCTGCGCGTGGGGTAGCAGCGGGCTGCGCGGGCGGCGGAGGCGGCGCGCAGGGCAGCAGCGGGCTGCGCGAGGCGGCGGACGCGGTGCGTGGGGCAGCAGCGAGCTGCGCGGGCGACGAAGGCGGCGCGCGCGGAAAAAAAAAAAGGCAGGGCACGCAGGCAGCGTGCGCGGGCAGCGCAGCGCAGGCAAGACAGGGCGCGCATGTGAGGCGCAGCGTAGGCAAGGCAGGCAAGGCAGGTGGGGCAGCTCAGTAACCGCAACGGTAGGTGGGCCCAAAAAAAAAATCGGTCCTACGGACCTACTGCTCTGAATACCATGTGAGAAACAACTAGTAGGAATGGATGAACTAGGTCAAAGTTTGGTACAAGTATGAAACCCTAAAGGGACTATACCCCATATTGGCTACCCCACTACAGCCTACACATCTGTAACATATATATAATTTGACATCTTCGTCAAGGACGAGATCGAGAAGAGGAGACTGGAGCTGTCCTACTGCCCTACGTTCGAGATGGCAGCTGACTACTTGACCAAGAAGCTCGGAAAATAGAAGTTCGAGTACTGCATGCTGCTGACTGGACAAGGCCACGTTACCAGCAGCGACACTCCAGAAGCGAAGGGGAGTGTTGGAAACAAAGTGACTTAAACGCTTCTGATGTGTCGAAACACTGAACTGCAAGCGAAGCGAACTACAATCGAAGCAACGGCGAGTCAACCATCAGAGGTTGACAGAAAACGTAACCGCTGGAGGTTACGCGAAGGTCAAAGGTCGCTGACCCTTGACTTGACAAATAAAGCGCAACAGCAAGGACAAACAACTGACTCGATACTGAGCAGTTGCCCGATTCGTCATTGTATCGAACCGCAACAGCAACAGTAAAACAGTAATTAGTTACAACCTTTCATATTCCCCGTAATCTTATAAAAGGCTTGTATTACGTTCTTATAATCAATCTATCTTGCCCTCACATACCAGCGCAAGATGGTTCAACACTTGTTATTAAAACGCTTCCGCAACTACAACTTTCCTACCCAGAGTTTAGCCTTGCAAAGATCCTAAGGGCTTTTCTCAACCCAACATATTATACTCTTAACATATTGCAATACACCACGTACAACCCGAGCACTGTAAAGTACAGTCTCGGCCGGCATTATGGTATTCCCTTGCCCTACCTGTGCCCAACCTTGATATCCCTAGGTCCCTGGCCTGTTAGGTTTCCTGCTTGCTATATTGCGCCCCTCCTTGTATTGATGTGAGTTCATTCTAATCACAACTTTGTTATAGGTTAACGTATACCACCCTGTTTGACAACATATACCGGGAGACTGAGTCACCGTACCATATTGTGTACAATTGGCAGATTGTCAGCTGACGAACCAATCGACAGCCGTGATGTGATGTGACTGGTCCGCCTGCCCTGCCAGTTCACAAGCGAATCGCATCGCAACGAACTCTGGATGAATGACACTGTTCGCACCTGTATTATTCTGGCGGCGGAAGGGGGAGGGGAACTGGTGGTGAGGTGACCACCACCAGTTGTCACACGAATGACTGCACAAACTGCACCCTTGTGTTGCGTTGCGTGCGACACGCAGGAGGTGAATCTCGATGTGCTCTTTCTTCACATTGAGTGAGCTCCTTTGAACGTGGTGCAGAACTCCTCGGCAAGGCACGAGTCGGCGTCGGGACGACTCAGAACCGCTCACCGAAGCTTACCATCCTGGGGCGTAACTCCGGTAGTAGTTGTAGTGCGATGTGTGTCTGAGAAGTCTTGCTCCTGATTGATACAAACGAGTCTCTTCTCACTGATTAGGGGCCAAGTTATCTGGCCACTTTCTGTAATCATTTGCGACCCAATGGGGTTGGTGAGAGGAGAAATATCATGTCGCTCCAGACCCGCTTTCTGATGAGTTACGTCCACTCCAGACTCGTGTCGCGTGTATAGAATCTGTCGCTTTCCTGGTTCCGGTGTGGCTCAATCTCGGTGCATATATATGATATATATATATATATATATATATATATATATATATATATATATATATATATATATATATATATATATATATATATATATATATATATATATATATATATATATATATAAATGGCGAGCAGGACCCCTGAGTCCTGATTCCACTCCAAATGTTCGTGTAATGTAATGGCCTTATTTCGTCGTCCCGCTCACCTCATATGAGCAACGAGCCCGTCAGACTCTGATGGAGACGTTTCAACGGTCAGTTGCCTCGAGGTCCAGAGGCGACGCTTCTAGTCGAACGCAAGACCTTCGCTTGTCCAACCGTTTAGTGGTCACAAATACCGGTGAAAATTCGTCTTTAGGTTCATCCGCAGGTTTGTCTCTTAGTTCTTCAAAGGGAGTCGCGTCGCCATGGACTTGGAAGTCCGCCACGTGGCGCGTGCTGCTGCTGCTCGTTCCCGCGTTTTTTATCGGGCAATTTCTCTTCTCAAATCGCACGCAGGGAGTTTCCTCACAACATCTTGACGTCGAAGGAGCGGAAAATGCGGTAGGTGCGGTAGATGCGATAGGCGCGGGAGGTACGGCGCCAATAGCGGCGATAGACGCGGCGCGAGGCTCCTTCGCGTCCCATGGCCGCGCCGGTGGCGACGGTGACGGCGGTGGCGGCTCTCTCCTGGGCGTGACAGGAAGCGGCACAGGCGGCGACGACGACTCTGCGGATCCAGAGCAGCAAAAGCAGCAGGGTTCAGACCCACAGCAACAGCAGCAAACACAACAGGATGAATGGAAGCGGCAGCACCGGCTAAGAGAGGGGCCATCTGGGCTCTTGCTGCCACAGATGCAGCAACAGGATTCAGACCCACAGCCACAGCAGCACCAGCAGCAGCAGCAGCAGCAGCAGCCAATTTCCACGACAGCCCTCACAGCATCGAGCTCAGCAGACAAGGCAAGCACTGGCGCGCCCTCCGCCACAACCGCAGAAACCGTTGAAACGGCAGCACGGGTGCACGGGGAATCACCTGGTGGGGAATCATCAGCGGACCATGCCAATTCCGACCCGAATGCGTATGGCAATCCCAGTGCAATTCATGCAAATGCCAGTGCCAATGGCGGTGCTGATCGGGCCAATGCAAGCGGTGCGAACAGTGCAGGTGGCGCAGTTGGTGAAAGCTGGGGTTCGCAGCGGTTCTACACAGTGACGGGCGAGGGCGACTACTGCGCGGGAGAGTCGCACTGGACGTGGAGCTTCCTGTGCGCCGCGGCGGAGGCGAAGGCTCTCAACCGCACGCTCATCATTCCCATGGCCAGGTGCCTGGACGCACGGCATACTTTGTCGCATCTGACGGAGGAGAAACCGATGGTGCTGTACTATGCCATGGATCACTGGCCGCGGTATGATCGCTTGTCCCTTCGGTAACCATTGGTTTGGATACTTTGTGGATGGATTTTCAAGCGGTGTTTTTTCACTCGTGTATTGGAGCCAAGATGTTGAATCAATTCCTGAGAAAAAAAGAGAGGAAAAAGTGGAGGATATGGAGGAGATGGGGGAGGTAGAGGAGGTAGAAGACTAAAGAAACGGCGTCCTTTTGTGGCCCATTAACCTCCCCTCCCCCTTTCCACCCCGCGCCCTCCCCCCACACCCCCCCTCCCGCCTCCAACCCTCCCTCCCCTCACCCCCCACACAGCATGCAGCCCATAATGCTGGACCTCCAATTCGAGCTCAAGATAGGGCCGCTGAACGTGACGATTCTGAGAGAGAGGTACAACATGAGCGTGCGTGTGTTTGAGGCGAAGGCGCCCACGAGCCGGCTGGAGAGTGAGGATGCGCGCAATGCGACGCTCATCATGCGCAGGGCGCTGTTCGCGTACCAGATGTGCGATGAACACAGGAGCGAGGTGCGTGGTCGGGAAGGACTTTTGGGGTTTACGGTTGAGGGTTTAGGGTGCCATGCTGATCGCGCGCAGAGCACTGTTCGCGTACCAGATGTGCGATGAACACAGGAGCGAGGTGCGTGGTAGAGAAAGACTTTCGGGGGCTTTCGGGGTTCCGGGTTTAGGGGGCCTTGCTGATCATGTGTAGGGCGCTGTTCGCGTACCACATTTGAGATGAGCGCAGGGGGGTGAGTACGAAGGGATGTGGTGCGTGGGAGGGGATGGGGAGAGTAAGATGTGGTGAGTAGGAGGGGTCGAGGTGAGTATGGTGCGAGGGTCTGGTTTTCCTTGTGAGGCGTCGCAAAATTAGACTCGCCTGTCTAGTGCGCAACTACGACTTGATTCGGCCCCCCATGTACCTGCGGTGGGTGCCACAGGCCTTCCAACCCTCTCCCGGCCGATTCACCACGCCCCCTCTAAGCTGCCTTGCCCTGCCATCTCTCCCACCTCCCCCCCCTCCCCAGAGGCGTCTGGTGCGCAATTACAACCTGATTCAGCGCCCCATGTACCTGCGGCGACTGGCGCAGGCCATTCCAACTTCTCCTGTCCCCTCCACTCGCCCCGCCCCCTCTACCCCCCCTCCCCGCCTCCCCCCCCCTCCTTCCCTCAGAAGCGTCTGGTGCGCAACTACAACCTGATCCAGCGTCCCATGTACCTGCGGCGCCTAGCAGAGGCGATTCGGCGCAGCATTGGCGGGGAGTATGATGCCGTGCACGTGCGGCGCGGAGACAAGCTCAACCGCTACTACTGGCCGCACGTTGACCGCGATACGCGCCCTGATGCGTGCGTGCGGGGGAAGAAGGGTGGCGGGGGGAGGAGGGGATGTGTGGGGGGAAGGGTAGGGTAGAGAGGGGACGGAGAAGAGGAGGGAGAGGGAAGAGGGGAGGGGAAGAGGGGCGAGGGAGAGGGGAATATGTGGGGTTTGGAAGGGTGGGGGCATGGGGGAGGGGGAACGGGAGGGGGAAAGGGAGGGGGAAAGGGAGGCCGGAGAGGAGAGACGGGAAAGGGGAGACAGAGAGGGGGGAAGAGAGAAGAGAGCGGAAATGGGGAGACGAGGGGATATGTGAGGGCTGGGAAGGGTGGGATTACAGGGCTGCAACTGGAAGGTGTTGCCATGGTGCGATAGTAGGTGTAGATCGCGTGGGGAGGGGAGGGGAGAGGTTTTGGTTGCTTTTGACACACTTTCCCCCTCCCTCCTTACACCCTCCTTCCACCCTCCTTCCTCCCTCCTCCCTCCCCCCCTTCCCTCAACAGCCTCTTGAAAAAGCTACCCAAGTTTATAAAGCCAGGGCGCCACGTGTACATAGCGTCGAACGAGCGCACGCCGGGCTTCTTCAGCCCGCTCGCCTCGCTCTACAAGATCCACGTGCTCTCCGACTACCGCCACCTCTGGGCGCCCGGCAGCGACTGGTACAACGCGTGCTGGGAGCTCATGCAGAGACAGCGAGTCTCATTCAGAGAAACTGGCCCGGTGTTTGACGCTCAGATGCAGGTGGGTGCGTTTTGAGTCGACGCAAAATACACCGGGAGCTTATAGGTAGACGCCGGCTCATGGAGGGAGAGAGGGGCCCGGTGTTTGATGCTCAGATGCAGGTGGGTGGTGGGCAGGGGTGGGAGGTGGTGTACGGGGGTTGTGTGGGAATGGTGAGGGTCGGTAGCACCTGTGAGTTCAAAATCGATTGGGGAGTGTGGTATGGTGTGTGGTTGATGTTTTAAGATCTCTTTTTGTGAGCATCTGTGTTTCAACTCCACTCCATGGTGCCCTATTGTAGAGTTTACAATATGATAGTTCCTCTTATGTTCCTCTCATGCAAGGTTACCTTCACCCATGTTACAACATACAGCACTTCACGTCTCATTCCTGCTGACCCATCGTGTCTGTTCTGGCTTCTCCCTGTCTTTCCTTGGTTGCAGTGGATAGTGGATCAGCTTATACTGAGTCAGGCAAGGAAGAGGGTGGAGACCTTCCCTGACCTCACTAACGATAAGAAACATGCCAGTCTTCGATAGGTTGCACTCAATAGATTATAATATGGGGATCATGGGATGCTAAATTAATCATGTTTTATTTTCAGTGAATATCGTACAATGAGATGAGAAGGCCAGGTCCTGAGTGCAGGAGTTGGAATTTTCCAGATTCCAGCTCAGACTATAATCCCCAGGATGTAACAGGTGGGATTAAGATGTTATCGAATATATTTTTTAGGCGCATGGAACAACCTTCAACCTTCAACCTTTGCGAGTGTTCAACCACTCAGAACCTTTCGCATCATAGAAAAAAAGTGATACCCAGCAGCATTATCATAGCATGTTAGCGCGCGGCTCGCGCGACGCAAACCCGCTCTTTTGCCAGAGCTAGGGAGTTTTTTGACATGGCAGGCCCGAAGGAGCAGCACCCCTCTTCCAATGGAACTGCCGTCCTTTCATGGTCAAGCGAACACTATTGGTTGTACTGTTGCTAGTAGACCTTCGTAAGCAGTTTCCAATGGTGTTCATGGTCAAGCGAACACTATTGGTTGCACTATCGCTTCTTTACAGCTATTTATCAGTCATGAGTCAGGACCTTGTATATGGTGGTGGCAACATCAAGTCAGCGCTTTGTTATGCTCTGTTGATCGTTCTGTGCAGGAATTTCTGTTTGATTGACTGGTGGATTTGTGCCTCCGATGCGAGCTTTGCGCGCTCTACCCATCCCATTTCATCCCTAACAAAAAAGACTTCTAGACTCTTAACTCGTCTACACCATACCAGCCCCTACATACCACTGCTAACGGTTGGAGCGGAATGTGAATCTGATACCAGCCCCTACCAACGTATTGCTTCGTACTTTAGAAGCCAAAGTCACGCTGGCAACCTCTGCGAGTAATGACGGCTGGGATTGGTGAAGGAAGAAAAGTTATTCTGATGGGTTATGAACACACCAATGACTCGGGTCCCTGGTATAGAATATGTCGCTTTCCTGATTCCGACGTGGCTCAGGGTCCCGGCAATCTCGCTGGATCTCGGGCCTCATTTCGCCGTAATGGTCAATCATATGAGCAAGGAGCCCATCATAATCTGATGAAGTCGTTTCAACGGTCAGTTGCCTCGAGGCCTAATGGAGCCGACCTTTCGAAACAATACCTTCGCCTGTCCAACCGTTTAGTGGTCACGGATTCTGGTGCATTTCTAGTAGGTTCGTCTCTAACTTCATCTTCGGGTTTGTCTCTAAGTGCTTCGAAGGGATTCGCGTCGCAATGGGTCTGGAAGTCCGCCAGGCGCCTGCTGCTGCTGCTAGTTCCGGCGATCTTTATCGTACAATCTCTCTTGTTTAACCGTTCCTCGCAGTATCTTGACGCCGAAGGAGCGGAAGAAAAAAACGCAATATCTGCGGTAGATGCGATCGGCGCGGCAGGGACGGCGCCAATCGCGGCGATCGTCGCGGCGCGAGGCTCCGTCGCGTCCCGTGCGAGCCGCGCCGGCGCCGATGGCGGCGGTGAGAGAGCTCTCATGGGTCTCCTGACTGGAAGCGGCACAGGTGGAGACGATGATGCGAATCCAGAGCAGCAAAAGCGGCAGGAGTGGCAGCAGCAGCAGCCGCAGCAGCAGCGGCGGCGGCAGCGGCAGCGGCAGCTAAGAGAAGAGCCGTTTGGGCAGCAACCGCACCAGCAGCAACAGCAGCCGATTTCCATGATAGCCCTCACAGCTTCGAGCTCAGCAGACGAGGCAAGCACTGTCGAGCCCTCCACCGCAACCGGCGCCGCCACCCGCGCAGAAACCGCTGTACCCGCAGCGTGGATGCATGGGGAATCCGATGGCAATGTTGCTGATCGTGCCAATGCCAAATCCAATGTTTATCATGGCGAACCCAATGCTGATCCGTATTCCACTGCCGATGACGACGATGCTGATGGGGGCAATGCAAGCGGTGCGAACAGTGAAAACGGTGCAAGAAGTGCAAGCAGTGCGATCAGTGCAAGCGGTGCACGTGGTAGAATCAAGGGTTCGCAGCGGTTCTACATGGTGACGGGCGAGGGCGACTACTGCGCGGGAGAGTCGCACTGGACGTGGAGCTTCCTGTGCGCCGCGGCGGAGGCGAAGCTGCTCAACCGCACGCTCATCATTCCCATGGCCAGGTGCCTGGACGCACGGCATACTTTGTCGCATCTGACGGAGGAGAAACCATTGGCGCTGTACTATGATATGGATCACTGGCCGCGGTACGAGTACTTGTCTTTATCAAACCGGTGACATGTACCTGGTAAGTGGTAGTAACTGGTCGTTGATTAATAGTATCTGATAAGGGGATGGTCTATCTCTTGTTATGTGGCTGAATCTATGTGACAATCTGAGGGCTGACTAATTGGTTTCCAGCGAATCTTGGGATTCCAGATCGAGGTCCAAGCAACAGCGTTTCACCTGTGTTCCGTTCGCTTTGGGGTTTCTGTCAACTCAAATATCTACACCAGGTCATAACATAGCTTGGTTTGTAAGCAAAGGGATTTCTGGATTTCATTCATGATTTTACTCCATGCACTTTCGACAGGGCTCCTTGACAGGGCTCCTTTCACGCTCCTTTCTCACTTGGCCTTTCGAGATCATTTCTTGCTTCGCCTTTTACGTTCCTTTCTTACCTGTTATCCATGTCCCTTCCTCATTTGGCCTTTCAACCTGCTGATATAACCAAGGATCCAGTAGATAGGATAGAATCTGTTAAGTCTGAGAGGAGACAATGAAGTCTCTGTAGTGACCTTGCTGAATAATAATTGAAAGAGAACAAGATAATTGAAAGATAGGAGTACAAGAGATTAAATAGAAATCTAGCTAGCCATGTAGGGGTACATTCCCTTATTAACTGTACCTGCATAGCTACAGTAACCGTGACTATTGCTATCCTCGACAGTTACCATGTTGCAGTGAATTAACTGTCGTGCGGTTACTGGATCGTCAAGGGTCACGACCGTTGACTTCCTCAGACGGTTGACCTTCGGGTGACCCTCGACATTCCGCATGCTCTATATGAGCTATTGCGGTACTGGTACAGTGGAACAGCTCCGGGAATGCTTTATATAACCTTTCGGTTATTCCAACACTCCCCTTCATTCCTGAAGGTGGGCCACGTGGGCTTTCTTGGTGATCCCGCAGAGGTCGGCGCAGCGTTGGTACTGCTGACGTGGCAGCTTCTTCGTCAAGAAATCAGCTGCCATGTCACCGGTCGGGCAGTACGTCAGCTTGACTTTCCCTTAGTCGATTTCATCCTTCACGAAGAAGTAGCGAAGGGCGATGTGCTTGGTGCGGTTGACGAAGCCGGGCTTGTTCGCGATCTTTATCGCGCTCTGATTGTCGCAGAGTAACGTGAAGTGCCCGTTCATCGTCACTTTCGCTTCTTGCAGGAGCTCCACCAGGTACAGTCCTTCGCGAACAGCTGCGCTAGCTGCGATGAATTCTGCTTCTGCTGACGAGAGAGCGATAAGTTCCTGCTTCTGAGAGTTCCAGGAGATGAGTCCGGCAGGTTGGAGTTGAAAAATGAATCCTGTGCGGGAGCGTCTGTTGTCAACATCTCCAGCATGGTCGGCATCTACGTAGCCATGGATGTGAGAAATGAGAACGAGAAAGGATGAACTATGAAATGAAGTGAGTACAAATATGAAACCCTAATTGGTTGTACCCCCTGTGGGATACCCCACTATAGCCTACATAACAGCATAAGCTACAATGTTCTGACACACCCCCATAGGCAAAGTGGGGGAGAACAAGGGGTCACAAGACCAGTCAAGCAAAGCAAAGCAAAGGAAAGCTCAGGGTGGATCACAAAGTCACCACACAGTCCGAGCACAGGGTCAAGGCCACACGGCCAGTTCACATGCAAGAGTACACACATATATATAAAGCTAGACAAGCAAGAGCAGGTATATATATATGTGAGAGTACAAGCAAGGTCAAGAGGAGAGCAAGTGAGGCAAGACGGGCACAAGACCCAGCTGAGTGCAGAAGCGCTGATGATCACAAGGCGGAAGTGCCTTGGTGAAGACATCAGCAGTGTTGGCCTCAGAGGCCACGTACGCAAGCCGCAACTGTCCACGTTGCTGTAGCTCACGAGCAAGGAAGTAGCGGAGAGCAATGTGCTTTGTTCTGTGCTCCAGTCGCTGCTCTCGACACAAGGCCAGCATGGCCTTGTTGTCTACGTACAGGACTGGAGGAGAACGAGGCGGCTCTCCGAGGTCAGTCAGCAGGTAGGTGAGCCAGCGAAGCTCCTGTGCAGCCATGGCCCCGGCGTAGATCTCAGCCTCACAACTCGAGCCAAGAACAGAAGACGAGCGAGTAGCCCGCCACGAAACAGAGCCGGAACCAAGGCTGAAGGTGTAACCCTGTGACGACCGCTGCGTAGCCTGGTCGTCAGCCCAAGAAGCGTCCGCGTGCCCAGTGAGGACCACTGGACTCCGCCCTCCAAGCACTAGCCCCATGCCCGACGTACTGCACAAGTAGCGCAACACCCTCTTCGCTGCAGCCATGTGCTCTGGTCTGTGTCTCCCAGGAGCAACATAGCGTGCAAGAATGCTAAGAGGGTATGCAAGGTCAGGTCGTGTGCAGGTCATCAGGTACATGAGGCAGCCAACAAGCTCTGGGTACGGGCCACTCGACTCTACGGACTCATCCGAAGGCAGAGCTGAGAGCGAGTGGCGAGTAGACAGAGGAGTGGCCTGAGGCGAGGAGTACGTGAAGCCGAAGCGCTGAAGGACCTGCTGCACCATGTGTGACTGAGTCAGGGTAATGGTGCGGCGTGCTCTGTCCCGGGTGATCTGCAAGCCAAGGTAGCTGCGCAGTTCACCCAGGTCTGTGCACGTGTGTCTCTTCTGCAGCTCGGACTTCACGTAGGCGAGTCCAGCAGTGTCAGCTGTGGCAAAGACCAAGTCGTCGACGTACACGAGGATGTAGAACGGCGGCAGAGAGGTGTCGGTGCGTAGAAACAGCGACGGGTCGGCAGTAGAAGGAGCAAACCCAAGAGCCGCAAGCGTAGTCCTCAGTGTGTCGTGCCACTCACGTGGCGCCTGGCGGAGACCGTAGACTGGACGCCGGAGACTCCACTGGGTACCAGGAGGGAAAGACCCAGTGAAGCCAGGTGGGCGACGCAGCCAGATCTCCTCGTGCAGACTGCCCTGCAAGAAAGCTGTGCTGAAGTCAAGAGAGTGCAGCTCGTAGTCACGGTGAGCAGCAACGTGCAGCAGTACCCGAAGAGTGGTCATCTTCGGGGTGGGGGAGAAGGTCTGAAAGTAGTCAACTCCCTGCCGCTGACTGAAGCCACGAGCCACGTAACGCGCCTTGAAGACAGGCGGAGAACCCGGCGGCCGCTTCACCCTGAAGATCCACATGCCACTGACGATGTTCGCCCCAGGAGGGGGGACAGCGTCAACGTAGGTGCCTGTGGACTTCCAGGAAGCCATCTCTGCATCCATAGCTGCCTGCCACTGAGAGGAGTAGGGACCCTCTATCGCCTCCGCGTAAGAGCGCGGAGTCGGGATGTCAAGTGCATCCGGGTCTCCCTCAGGGGTAAGCAGTACGGACACGAGATGAGGTGAGGCAGCTGCCAGACACTGGAACTCCTCCTGCCTGTCCTCAAGGACGTCCGTGCCAAGGGCACACTCACCCCCGACGGACGGAGGACAGACAGACTCAGACTCAGCGACAAGACTAGCAGCGTAGTCTAAGCGACAGCGAGCAGCAAAGTCGACGAGCTCAGTAACGAGAGCAGACGCAGCAGTAGACTCGAAAGAAGGGTCAGTGACAACAGTAGCAAGGAGACGCGTGACAGTAGGACTGGCAGCACGAAGAGAGTCCGACTCTGGGTCGGCAAGAGCAGGAAGAGAGGACTCAGGAGGAGAAGGCAAAGGGGCACGCAGAGGAGCCGTGGACGGACGCAGAGACATCCGGTGCGTGCCAGGGACAGGAGGAGGACGCTGACGCGAACCGCGACCACTAGTGCGAGCAGCACGGACAGGCGACGCAGGGCGAGACGCAGGCTCACGACGCTCAGCCAGACCTCCAGTAGGACCAGTGTAGGGAGAAGGAGCAGGTAAAGGGGAGGTAGGCTGCAACTGTAGCTGGGACGAGACAGGCTGTGGACACTCTAAGGGAGGAGGAGGACCAGTAGAAGGTGGAAGACCAAGAACCTGCTGCAGGAGTGGAACGAAGTACGGTCGAGGCCGCGCGGCGACGCTAGAAGCAGCAAGGACAGCACCAGAACCCTCAGCAGGAGCACCCGCTCCAGCAGCACCACCAGTAGCTCCAGAACCTCCAGCAGCACCAAGAGCACCCCCAGTAGGACTGCCAGCGGTAGTCTCAGCGCCAACACCCTCAGCAGCACCAGCTCCAGTGCACCCAGGACGAGCACCTCCGGGACCCGCGACCGCAGCACCCTCAGCAGCCGAAGGACCTCCAGCACCAGCAGCACGCCTCCAGCGCCGGGCAAACCACTCACGCAGCTCCTGTGGCGAAAGTGGCTCCCGGCGAGACGAAGCACTCGGAGAACCTCCAGGCGGAGCACCTCCAGGCTCAGCACCCCCAGGCGTAGCACCCCTAGGCTCAGCACCCCCAGACGTAGCACCCCTAGGCTCAGCACCCCCAGGCTCAGCACCCCTAGGCTCAGCACCCCCAGGCTCAGCACCCCCAGGCTCAGCACCCCCAGGCTCAGCACCCCTAGGCTCAGCACCCCCAGGTACAGCACCCCCAGCCTCAGCACCCTCAGCAGCACCAGAGTCACCAGTGACCTCGACAGGCTCGACTGCGTCTACCTGGGACACACCTGAAGGGGCAGGACCCTGAGGGGGGAGGGGGTCTACCTGGGGGGGACCTGGTACCAGGAAGAGTGGGGGTGGGGGGGGGGGGACGGAGTGCGGTAGGGGAAGAGGCGGTAGTAGGGGACCGACTCGTCAAACGTGACGTCCTGGGAGGACAGAACACGGCGAGAGGTGGGGTGGTAAAACTGCCACCCAGGCGCGTCAGGGGGGAACCCCAGGAAGACGCAAGGAGCAGCACGAGGGGATAGTTTGTCCGCAGACAGGTCGCGGACAAACGCCCGAGATCCCCAGACCCGGAACGCCGACGCATCGCCAACCTTCCCGGTCCACAGCAAGGCTGGGGAGGTCTCCGGCCTGGAGACCCTGGGGTGGAGGTTGATCTGATGCGCCGCGTACCTCACCGCAAACGGCCACAGAAAATGGGGGGCAGCCGCATGCATCATAGACGTACGAGCGACGTCCATGACCATGCCAATGCGGCGCTCAGCAATCCCATTTTGCTGCGGTGAGTCCGGAAGCGTGAAGGTCTGACGGATGCCCCGTGCACGACAGTAGGCACGCAGAAGGCCAGAGGAGAACTCTCCGCCTCTGTCCGAGTGCAGACGCAGAACAGGAAAGTCCGAGCCGAAGCTCTGCCTGAGCTGGAGACGAGCTGCGCGGATCCAGTCGATCAGCACCTCAGTGACATCACCCTTGCTGCGCAAGGGGAAGACTGTGGTGTAACGCGAGTAGTCGTCAACAACGAGCAGGAAGTAGCGCTC